ATACAATTTACAGATAATGGTATCCCTCTGTAAATCCATACCCCAGAGAAATACAAGGGTTTTGATTAGAAATGTTTGTATGTTTAACATGTAATTTGCCTGATATTAGATGGTTGGAGGCAATCGGCCACAGGAAGCCTTGGATCTAGATTTCGTGCTAGTGGGCACTCGTTAGTAAGGCATATCTGCAACCCCCTTGAAGGAACTCATGTCCTACCTAGAATGGTGGCCACATTACAACCTGACTGATAGAATTCAGTCTGCACCAAAGAAAGTACTAGACACATCACACTAGTTACTAGTGTCAAATCAAAATGTAATTTGCCTGCCTGTCAAGTATAAGATGGTGCTGCATTAGTGTCCTTCACTGGACTCTTAGTTTTAGGGGACTGAGCGAATTAGTTGAGCTTGATGCATTGGAAACAAATCGAAATAACAGTTTCTTCCTTATATTAATTGAGATGAAAACGGGGAAGGTGAGAAGGTGCAGTTGTCTCTTCCTATGAATTTATATCTTTGAATTGATGTTAACTGGTTAAAAGGCAGTAAGCAGGAAAGTCCCTCGACCTAGAAGGATTTGTGCATACTGACATTTATCTACAACGTGTATCTTCAAGTTTTAAGAAACAGATGTCTTCTACAGTTTTTTTTTTGATTTACAGCTTGATTCCACACTGTATTTTTGGTACAAGTATGGAATTTTCAGCATGAATATCGGTAGCCCAAATTTCTCAGGTCGACCATAGATATCAGGTGTGCGTCGGCGTGGGCTCGAACCCCGGACCATGTGCATGGTCGGCGAGAGTCCTAACCACTGTGCCACCGACGCACAAATTGTAGACTAGTGCGTCCGTAGTTAGGAGCTACAATACTGGCCAGCTGCGGTGCTGCTTGATGTCCGAGTGTCATTCACCGACGATACACTTCTCAACCTCACTTAATTTTATTAGCCGACAGTAAGCCCAGAAAAGAGATAAGACAGCTACCCAACCCTTTAAAAGAGAACGCCTCTTCCAGATATTCGCTTAAAATGACCTGGTGGCTGGTGTTTCACTTAGAACTCAAAAAGTGACAATAAAAGGTCTTGCGGTTAAAAAGTTTATCTCTGAATTATTTGGGATCACAATTAACCCTATGGTAGGCTACCACGAAGACAGTGAGACAGAGGACGGTGATTTCTAGATTTTTTGAGCATACCCCTGGTGATCTTTACATAAAAAGTACAGAGGAATTTGCTAAGGCAATTTTTACGTACACAAATGACACTGAATATACAGTTGGAATCGGTCAAGCTTTCAAATAATTCAATATACAGAGAAAATCCTAGGTAATTTGTCTCGCTTTACAGAAGTCAAACAATTTTATTTTAATCTGTGTATACAGAAATTATGATTAGTCCTGCACTCGCCTGGCAACTAAATCTGCTTTCAGGTTTGATCACGAAGTGGTCTCACTCAAAAAACCATTGAAAACCAGAGAGTACTGGACAGCTGTTTTTGGTTCTAGAATCAATGCTAAGTGAGTTCACCAGTGCGTACTGATGAGGTGTCGCCAAAAGAGCACGAAATAGCTGTCAAATACTCCACCATGTTTTTCAGTGGTTCTTTAACTAAACACAGCTAGTCATCAAACACTTTTGGAAACTGCAGCAGATGGATTGCACATAGGCCGAAGAGGAGACATTCAAGTGCCATCACACATACACCTGTGTGAAGTTGTAGAGGCAACTGAAAGTAATGACACAGGATCAAATGCAATAAATAATAGTGTGGTGAGAGCAGGCCGTGAGAAAATATGAGCAAGGCTGATTCAACAACCAATCACAGCAAAGTTAACGTGGCAAAATATCATTCGCAGATAGAGAACTCTATTTGTCGAGGAATCCCGAAACAACCAATCAGAAGCCTGCGTTTGTCTGCCTAACTTCTGATAAACAACCAATCAGATGACTGCGCTTGTCTACTTGCATAAGCTATAATAATGTATGTGAAATATGTATAAATACGTGTTGATTTTCATAATAAAACGATCTGTTGCCTGGCCCTTGTCTTCTGTTGTTACAATAGTATTAAATAATAATAGTAGTATAAAAAAATGCAAGGAAACTTGGCATATGAGATTGTCACTGTGATATCATTCATTGTGGTTAATTGTCAATTATTCAATGTAGACTGGTTTAATTTGTGTCATTTTGAGGTTGATGGCTTTGCATGAAATCTGAAAGGCATATTTTGTCCCATTACGGAGATTCATCATCTAAATGCATCTGCCTTTCCAGTGATCAATAGTGTGTTCTCAGCCAGCAGTGATCCTTTCGGACTCTGCTAGACCATACGCATGTTTGAAGTTTGCTTTCTTTTTAGACTAGAAGCAAACTGTTAGACCAAAATGAAATTGTAAGCCTCTGAGATGACAACTATTATTATTATTATTTTATTACATTACACAACAATTTACCAATCATCAAGTGGCACTGATGTGTTTGTTAACAATAATTAGTCAGTGTCAAAGTGTCAATGGGGTGATAATTAACGAAGAAAATCAACACACATTTCAAAGGTAGAAATGGTTAGAATAAGGTCGAAGATGAGGCAGTAACTCATCGAAGAAGACATTGTGAAGTGGTCGCGCTATGATGTCGTGAATTGGCAGAAGTTAGAATTCAAGGACGATTGGATCGGGTCCCAGTGGCTCAATGGTCTACGAGCTCGCCTTGTAACCAGAAGGTCCTGGGTTCGAACCCTGGCGGTGGGTGCGTACTGCTGAAGAGTCCCAAACTAGGACGAAACAGCTGTCCAGTACTCCTGGCAGGTTTTCCAGTGGTTCTCTAACTGATGTCAGCTCATGATTAAATCCTCCATACAATCAAACCAAATCCCTACAAAACCAACATCTGAAAAGTAGAATAAATTAATTTAATTTTACAAGGATAACACGTAATTAGTGTCCAGAGGGGATAAGGTGTTCTAGAATAGAGCTGAGGAGGGATTTTATTATCCTTTGTAAAACCATCAAGGTAAATGTTCAGAGATATGTCTGGCAAGAAAACATTTTAGGCAACCAACATACCTAGCGCTCCACAAGAGCAAGTGTATTGACAAATGAAATGGTCAGCATTCGGTAGCTTCTCCTTCATGAGGTTCATAGGCATAATTAGTTTTACAGAAAAGGCGAGTCAAAGTTAAGCTGCGAAGAAAGTTTTCTTCAGGAAATGCGACAAGTGGTTTGTTAGAGTTTTCGCCAATGAGTCTTCACTGAAATGAATTCCTGTGAAATATGTGTAAAACTTGGGCACTGCGGTTGTAAGTAATTCCATATTAGTTTGTTTATTAGGTGTATCACACAGTAAAACAGTATTAGTATTTACTGGATGACACAGTTTCGAACAAAATTGATTGCTGTTCATAATCATATCAATTGTAATCACACGACTTCGAAACTTGAGTTTTATAGTTTTCTTTGTCCTCTCCTATTTGTCGTCGTTGGGGTGGAGAAGTGTTGAATCATTCCTATTAGACGTTCTCTCTTCATTTAATTCGATAAATAAAGCTTTCATTATCAATCCTGTTCCCTCCATTCTGTTACATTAGATTTTAAAACTTTAATCTTGTCCCATCTATCTTATTGTATGGTTGCGTGTATGTGCATGTACTGAGTACTATAGCTGAAATATTCTCCAGATTTCTTATCTTATTCGAGTCAACTAATCTAGATTTTGCTGGGTTTTCAGGCTGCTCCGCTAGTCTGGCTAACTGATCCTGTTCTACTCTTTGACCTGTCAATCATTCCAACAGGGTATTAGATAAGCCAGATAGTTTTGTTTAATTGCCTCCACAGGATGCGCTAACCAACAAAGCTTGTTTCTAATTGAGTCTGTGGTTGGTGTGAATGCCAGCCACTTTTATTCCTTCTTGCATTGTTAAGATTTCCCCTTAAGGTTTCTTAGGTTCCTTCCTTGTATGGAATTACTACTAATCTAAATCTCAAATAGGACTGGTAAAATGTTTAAGTGACAGAGAACAAAAACTATGTAGTACTAAGGAAAATTTAAGACACAAAATGATACACATAAAAGAAGCCTTGAAACTTAATAATTATCCAGATAAATTACTCAGGAAATATGTAAGGAAATCTAAAAAGAAAATAAATAATGACAGTAGCGATAGTGATAATAATAATAATACTAATGACGAGACCAACAATAAGGAATCTAAATCATCAACAGTAATTCCATACAAGGAAGGAATCTTGGAAGCCTTACGCAGAATACTTAACAAAGCAGGAATAAAAGTGGCTCACATTCAAACCAACCACAAACTCAATTAGAAACAAGCTTTGTCGGTTAAAGGATCCTGACTGTTGAGCTTTTAGAACAAAAGAATTTAGCTTATCCAATACCTTGATGGAATGGTTGTCAGGTCAAATACATAGGTGAAAGTAGTAGAACAGAGGAAGTCAGACTAGCCGAGCATAAAAACCTACCAGCGGAATCTAGATTAGTTGACTTCAATAAGTTAAGAAATCTAGAGAATAGTTCAGCTGGCTATAGCAGCCACTACACGCAGCTACACATAACCATACAATAGGATGGATCGGATAAGATGACAGTTTTAAAATCTAATGTCACACAGTGGAGGAAGAGATTGATAACACAAGCTTTATTTATCGAATCAGCTGACGAGAATACATGTAATAGGAATGATTCAACACCTCTTCACCCAGATATCTGGAAAATTCTAATACCACACCTACGACAAATAGGAGAAAACAAAGAAAACTATAAAATTCAAGTTTCGAAGTCGTGTGATTATAATTGATGAAATGATTATGAACAGCAATAAATTTTGTTCGAAACTGTGTCATCCAGTAAATACTAATACTGTTTCACTGTGTGGAATATCTAGTTAAACAAACTATATGGAATTCCCGTAAAACATTCACTACTGATACAGTTTTTTTTCCTGTTTTTATATGTCTTTGTTTGTCTGTTTTAATTTTAGATTACTGAAAATTTGTTAAACAGATTGAAAGTTCAAAATTATTCAATTAGTCAAGAAATTAAAACAAGCATTGAAAACTACATGAGTACAATTCTTACTCGACACATGGATCAGATTAGGTTAAATTTTTTTCAAACAAATCAAAGAATCGATGCACAGTTACATCGACTCTTCGCATTAAAACAATATCTTAATGAGAATAAAGTAATTCACTGTTGCTGTTGTCTGTGTTTTTGGTTTTTCACTTGAAACTTTTTTTGTTTTAATTGTTGTTGTTTTATTTTTGGTTTCTTTCAGTGCCACTATCTGGCAGCTATTTCATCCTTCTCCTAGTCTTAAGGACTCTTCTTTAGAGTACATCTATGACCGCACCACTAGGGGACTCTAGGTTATACAAGGTTAAGCTTAGCAGGGTATCAGTGACCCGTTGAATTGCAACATTTATCCATCCTTGACGTATAGAACTAAAAACACCAACCAGTACTGTCGACAAGTGTCCACTTCATCTTGATCCCACTGGCAAAAGGATAAAAGGAATAACCTTAACAGACAGTTTTTCTAATTATCTTAAGTGAATGGAAATATCGCATCGGTCCTGGAGTAAATAAGACACTACTCTTAGCGAAGAAGCTTTTTTTTTTTGCTGTATTGACGAAGTTATTTCCGGATGATGTATAATTGTGTTTATTTGTATTTACTAAAAAACGTATACCGCACATTGAATGCTATAGTGATAAATAACTCGATGACGTTTCAAGCACAATTTTCTGATACCTACACCCATATAAATGCGTATTCACATACTACTTCCTAATCTGCTTTCTATGACCTTACTCGATGGTGTTTAATATAACAATTTCGCATATATATCCTAGATAAGTAAGGCATCATTTACATGTAGGACCTTTTTCGTATTGATTCAATGAAGAGGCTCGATGATCAATCTATTTTTTTCTCTCTTCAGCTGCCTATATTACTTTTTAATACCCTAACATATCCCACTTCAGATGCTTTGTCTCTAATGTCACATAAACTCTTGAAGATCTAAGGGTGAAAACTATCAAGTTGGAAGAAAAGGCAGGCGGTGAAGACCGGACTTCAAGTGAATATAGAGGACACAGAGGTGATGAAGATACCTAACAAACAGTTGCAAGCATAAATTATCATTAAAGGTAGAAATTTAAACGATGTCACCTCTTTTACCTACCTACCAATCTGGACAGAAAAAAAAATGAAGGTCGACTGAACACACATTGGGGAGACCACTGTGAGATATTATGAGCCAAGTGATCTGTGAACAGGAACCCAAATGTAAAGCAATTAGTTCCCTTTATGAATTTCAGCAGAACAATAAGAAGTCGTAGTTTATCTGAAATTTATTATGTATTTGGGCAACACATTACAGACGCTCTGATCACACACGTACTTTTCATAGAGAAAACAGGATCCTGCTGTCCTATAAACCCTCACAACATCCGAACGAGAGTGCCACACAAATTGCGTCTATCAATCTACACGTGTGTGTTTTGACACACGTACATAGAGAGGATCCGTAAGTCTCTGCCGCTTAGGGTTACAGACCACATTCCAAATAGGCTGCAACAACAGATAAAATCACAAGATGCAGCTCATCCTCCAAACAGATATCCAATATCCTCTATTGAGAAGCACATCATAAAGACAAGTCAGAAGGTTCGTCTCAATAATTCTTTTAAACGCATATATAAAACATGGTTGGGTCATATTCTTAAATTCGATGAAGCCTTGAGCTTAAAAATGTTTAAACCTGTCTTATGTGTCCAAAAAGTATTTGTCACCACTTTGAACCTGCCTTTGTAATTCGATTTATAACCAATCCAACTTATTTAGTGACATTTTCAACGTTCTCCTTCATTTTTTTTCACCCCGCACCCTTATGTCATCTTTCTACTCCTTATTTATGGCCTTGGCCTGTACACACTTTGACCTGTATTGTAATAATTCATGCTCTCTTGCCTTCTATATAAATGTGTATGACAAGTAGGTGTGTAATCACAGAGTTTAAAACGTATTTCGCAAATACATTGCACATTTCAGATAAACAACGTCTTCTTATTGTTTTACCCGAACCAAAATGTGAAACGACAATTTGGGAGTAGATTCGGGGGGTGAAATAGAGGAAATCAAGTGAAGAGAATGAGATGAAAGCTTAAAGGGAATCGTGCAGCCAGCCAAGATGGACTGCAGAAAACAAGAAAAACCGCGAAGCGTGGTGCAAGTAGGGCTGAGTGTCCAGTCTTGACGAGTATAAAAACGGCGAAGCGGGCGTGTCAGAGTAGTAACAGTGAACTAATTATTACAAATTGAAATAGACAAGTTGGGAAGAGTTTGAAGTTATGGAAAAAAAAACTTTTTCTGCACACATACACAAGCTTTCCGAATTGTACTGGTGAATCGCTACCATCTCTGCCCGTTATACAAGAGAGTAGAAACCTTACACCCATTTGTACAATTTCGACTTATCATTATTCCACTGGAGTCCGAGTGGAACGTAGAGCTTCAACAGAGCATTTGCATTTTATCTAGTATTGCTACAATTACCTTTAGCTGGAACCACTGTGCGTCGGTGGCACAGTGGTTAGGACTCTCGCCGACCATGCACATGGTCCGGGGTTCGAGCCCTCGCCGACGCACACCTGATATCTATGGTCGGCCTGCGAATTTTGGGCTACCGATATCCACGCTGAAAATTCCATACTTGTAACAAAAATACGGTGTGGAATCAAGCTGTAATCAAAAATAAAAAAAAATAAAAAAAAATTACTCATAAGTTCTCTCATCTCCTCTCCCATCCCCACCCCACGATCTCTTTCATCCCTCGATTTGGTCTTATCATCAGTTTACAGACAGCAAGCAAAGAGGAGTGCATTGTCCGAGACGACAACAGTTAGAATTCGTGACTAACCCGATGAACGAATGATAAATGGGCTTAATTTACAACCTGAAAGTCCTAGTAGGCTAATGACTAATCACCCACTGTTAAACACAATCCCAAACTACTAAGAGAAACAGCTGTCCAGTATGCTTTCAGGTTATACAATGATTCTGTCAAAATTAATGTCGATTTGTAGTAAAATCTTCTTTGACAGGAAACCTATTGGGAAAAAAAATCCTCTCCATAAGTTTTTATTTTGTTTCATCTTATCTCTATTTTCTGCTTACTAGTTATGTAATTAATTGTATAATTGACTTCCTGTTTTGTGTTATCTTAATTGTGTCAGTGGATAAAATGCATCTGTATTATATGTGCGTGACGCCAATCTGTATTTCACCTTTCATGTTTAATGTATCAATTTCCGTTCAGTATATTTTGTTCTCTCTCTTTCTTCAGTTATTTTTTCGCCATTGGACATTGGTCATCTCGCGATAACCAATTGTTTTTTTTATGATTATTGATCATAAATTCGAATCATTTGCCACCATATTCATTATACACTGAAGTGATTACTGCTTATATTTAGTCAGTAGCATTACATCATCACACTTCCTTGACTATCACTCCTTTATGCTATGAAGTAGATCATAAATATATTTACATGTGTACATATTAAATGGTTGGGGGCAGTCTACAGGATGTTCTGTTGGCGTGTCTGCAACTTTCGAGGACCTTATCTCAGATTCGAACCCGCGTCACCTAGTACTGCCGTCAGAGACGATAACATTGAGGTATTCTAGCTCTTGACTAACTTCTTGTAAGGTTGTGACACACTGATTTGTCACTAGTGTATCCTAACCGATATCATGCTTCTAGTCCTTTGTGTTGGTAAAGACTGAATTCTATGAAGATAGAAGATAGATTAGTCTGTGCCAATGAGAACAGTTCAACTTCATTATTCAAAAATACATTACAGATAAATATTACCAATCTCGGAGAGTTGAGCCAACAAATAACCTATTATATTGGTTGCATAACCTCAGCCTCCTGGGTTGTGTAGTCTCCTTGTAATAAACACATTCAGCCTTGGCCCATTTATTCAGTATATACAAGCAGATTTCACTTCCTTTTCACACGATCTCTTCAGTTTCACACTTGAACTCACAACCTATTCGGACTCTGTTTGAGGGCCTAAAGCCCTAACTAACTGATGAATTGACTTGGTATTAACTTTAGACAAAATTCTGATCATGTTGCTTCAGTTGGAACAGACATGTATCATAAGCAATCTACTTCGCAAGTTGAAAATTAATTCGTGATTGACAATTTATACTCACAATTCCAGTAGAAATTGCACTACAGTTTCCTCTGGAAACCAAAACTATTCAGATCAAAGTATTCATGGATATGAGTAGTTGTATGCCACTCACACAGTAATCAGTAGTGCTTCCCTACTAGTCGGATCGAAGTGATCAGCAGTCTAGACCAAGCTGACCGATGGTATAACCTGTCTGAGTCATCTGAGAGATCCAAATGAGCTCACCTAACGCGAATTCTCGCTAGCTATGTGGCTGGACTGGTAGACGACTTAATCCAATTCAAAATTTGTAAATTAGTTTGCGATTTCAAGTTCATACGGTTCGAGGAGGTGAAACTTCGGCAGAATTTCTTCAGTATCAAGCAGACCATATATGAGGTGATATGAATTAAAATTTTAGCTTCACGAAGATGCTTAATTTTGAAATGTGTAGAGCGAAAATCGTCAATTCTTTTGAAAATTGAGAATTCGAACCAATGCATTACTACTTCATACAAGTGGCTAGATACAATTAGAATGGTTTAAACTGGTCCAACTCCCTGAGCTGAGTCAAAATCGACGCATCAATGACGAACCCGGCTTCAAACAAGTGGAACATCCGTATAATAACCCTGTACGATGAAATAATTACATGACACACAAAAAAGGCTGTGAAGCTGACCAATTTTTACAAAAATTAAGTCACTTATTCTTGTAACAGTTCGCAGTGAGAATATCTCCTGTTGGCAAATAAGGATGAAAGTCATAAATAAAGAGTGGTGGCACAAGAACAACAAGTACAATGCAGAAAAAAAACAATAAAGCCTTACTTTGTTGAAGTAATCTAATGGGAATAATTTGAGTTCAGTATGCCGCGGCTGCCGGCGTGGGCTAGCGAGCAGTTCATTTTTTGAAGGCGATAAAAATTTTATGACATTTTTATTGAAACTAGAATAATTTTTCAGGTATATATGTATATATATGCATCAATAA